AAAAGAAGCGTGCACACATGTATGTGCAAGCGGGCATAAATACATGCAAAATATCGGAAACACCCCTCAAATGGATTTGAACAGTGATCTATAAAAATAAGTCTATTCAAACCCCATCTTAACTTGCACCTTCATTACGTAAGGTAACTACAGTGAAAAATTCACCCTTAACCCTTTTACTTTTCAGTGTAAATTGCAGCTTCTGCTGACTGACCTTTTAGCACTTCATGATAGATGATTATACCAGCAAGTACATTCTACTATTTATATTTATGAACATTTGAAACCAGATGAAGTGACCTTTTCAGATCTGCATATATCGATCCAATAGCTTCTAGGTCAGGCCACAGCAGATGGGCGCTTACTTGGGTGACCTTTAAAGTTAGCTCGGATAGTTGATTATGAATGGGGCTTATGTGATGCATATTTGCTAAGCACTTGACGTCAATCTCTCTGTCTCTCTCTCTCGCTCTCTCTTTCTCTTTTGATGTGTATTCAATGGCTTTTCACAAAAGCCGAGTGCATAAAAGTGTAATTAGAAGCATTTGTTGATGCTCTATTCAGCTGCCATTTCAATGCCAACAATTGTTTGGCTCTCAGGCAAGGACACGCCGGCATAGTTGTTGTTGTTGTTGCTGTTGCACAATTTTAGGTGGCAGCCACAATCTCGACCAGCATGTGCCGTGCAACGGCAATCGATAAAACCTTCTCTAGAAAATGTCTAGTGCTCGCCACAAATCTCATCTCCGGCCGCTCTGCTGCGGCTGGCATTCAATTAATTTGCACTCGCCATGATGGGATATCAAATAATGAGGGCTTTTTGCCAAACGAATGGTTCTGCCGGAGTCTGTCTCCGTCGCTGTCTTGGGGTAAAGTTTTTCCATTATTGATTTATTTCGTGACTGGCTTTTATATGTATATGTGTGTGTATTTGATGCACATGCTTGATTTTCATCAGCCAACATATGGCCAGCCTCTGTGTGTATATGTGCAACGGTTTTGGGGGCGTGGCCAGGATTGACGCACGCCTGCAGCGCTGCGTCACACAGAAAAACGTCACGACACGGTGCCGGCCCAGAAGCAGTAGCAGGACCAGGACCAGGACTAGCCTTCGAGTGGAATCCTTACAAAAGTGGTAAAAAAAAAAAAAAATTGCCAGCGGCTTCACCAAGTCGAGTCGCCGAGTCACGACAGTCTCTCTGCCAAGGGTGGATTTGCCAAGTGCAGGGCACAGACGACGACGACGACGATTGTGCCTCCTGCCTCACACACCAACCCATTCCCATGCCTCGATTCTCTAGTGCCCCCTCCAACCCCCGCACCCTTCGGGCCATTGAAATGCTTTTTCCTTTGTTTCTCGCATCTTCTCTCTTTTTCATTTCATTTTTACTTTACCAGCATTTTTTTTTTTATTTTCAATGTTCACATTTCTTGTTCGCTTTAGTTTTTCGTCGCACATTTTTCGCACTTTGTTGGTTTTTGTGGCCTCCACGGGAGGTACCCTTTTTTTGCACCTAGACATATATATGTGTATGTGTATGTACACACACTTATGTATGCATGGGTACATATGTAAATGCCAGTTAAATTAAGTTCCTTCACATTCTCAACATTATGTCCAAGTGTCAGTTACTTAACATGCGATGTCAAATTGAAAAATTAACTTGGGAGGGGGGAAGTAATAAAAAATTGTCTTGATTCGTTTACTAGATAAACATATGGCATGGTCCTTACATAAGGACACACATATTGCGTAGTAGAAAATGCTTAAATATTTGGTTTATTGCGCTTGAGAAGAACATTTGTGTACAAAAACAGAAAAAACAGAACATTTAATACCCTTGTTAACATTTTTCCAGCGAGCTTGCAGTTATGTAATGAAAAGATATGTTTGATGAAAGTATTTTGGAAAACAGAATAGTTTGCCATGCAAAAACACTTTTTTCGACCGATTCCTCCTATAAAAATTTATAATATAGTAGTGCGAGATTGATAGTAGTACGATATTGATAAGAAATCAAGATATATTGATAAACAAAAAAGTTTTTCATACAATAGCTTCATTTTCGATCAATCGTTCCTATTATATTGTGCCCCGATGTTGATAAGATTTTGCATACATACGAGGTCAAGGTATCTTTTTTGACCCATTGTTCCTATTGTAACTATATCAACTCGGCCAAACCATAATATGGTATTCAAGATGAACACTAATGAAGTTTTAACTAACCTTTGAGAATCGGATGTAAAGTTCATTAACCAAATTAAAGTGTAGCTAATCGCATAATTAAAAGTGCAACCAATTTGATATATCAAAGCTGGTTCAACTCTTGGCATTGGTCAAGGGTGAAGAAATCGGAGCAACGATTTTTGCAATACTTCAGTTTGTTTTTCATATTGGCAGCGACGGAAGCCAGACAAATGACTAATTAAATTTAACCCGTAAAAGTTTATTACTGCTGACTGCAGGCCCTGACTGGCCAACGGGCTGACGGGCTGCTTACCTGGCCCAAAGGCGATGTCAATGAAATCGGACAAGCGAAGCCAGCCAAAGGCAACTGCCAACTGCCTAGACCCGGAGCCAAAACCAAAGCCAATGCAGGGCATGACACAAAAGCCCTTGAGATAGACGTGGGCGATGGGAGAAGTCTCTCGAAGCTGCAACGACAAAAAAAAAAAGAACAAAACTGAAAATTGTAGCAAAACCAAAAAAAAACGAGACGTGCTCAAAAGCTACAAACTACAAACTAAGGGCCAACAACAAGAACAACAAATCGACAACAAATCCGCTAACAAAACGAATGAATGAATGAATGAACTGTGAAGCAGCTAATGAATGAATGACAATGGTAACTAATGGCCCAAGCTGACGGTCTCTTGAGTGAATTATTGAATGGAGCCCAGCGACTGAATGAGCGACGGCTGCTTTAAGACATTTTCTTTTGCGCTTGCATTCAAATAAATCACACATCGATGTGAGCGAGTGAGTAACTCGGAGAATGGAAATGGGAAATGGGTAGCGGAATGGGCTATTATAAATAGCAAATGCATCAATTTTAATGCCGGCTGACAAAGGACAAGTCCCATTGGCAGAGACAGGGCGTAGCTCGCCAGAGACGGGGCGTGGCACAAGTTAAACTTAACGAGTCATTTAATGTTGGCTCGTAAAAGTACGTATTTATATATACATATGCTTCAGCGCGTTTTTTCCGGCCTTTCTCGTACCAAGCTGTTTGCTTTCAATTATAATATTACTTTTTAACACATTTTCCGCTAGCGAAACGTTAAATCTCAAACTTATAAACAATAAATAATAATTTAAAAAAAAACGCGAGGTATAGCCTTGGACTTTGATATGTACACATATTTGCCTGGAATATTTGTGTACTGCAAATTTCATAAAGATCGGACTATAAACACCGAAGTTACGCAAGAATGCATTCTCCAATTAATAGTATGGGAGAAGAAGAAGCATAATGTGGGATTTGGGAAAGAAAAAGCATATAAAGTAGGGCGTGCGTATGTATGTGTATGTAGTATCTCCTAGTCGGACACGCCTACTTGACATTAAAAACAAAGCTAGTTAGTAACTACTTGAGAAAGTAAATTCAAAAAGAATTTTTCTTTGTTTTCCTTTATCTTGAAGACCTACAGGCACTCATGTTAATGGCCCTGAAATCGCACGCACAACGTAGTTAGTTTAAGCAGTAGATTTTCTATCGATTGAATCAAAGATGATTAGATGATTTCTAGCCTGGCTTTTCAACTGGCTTTTCATCTGGCTTTTCATCTGGCATTTCACTCTTCAAACAAGTGCTTATATTGTCTTTGATTGAAGTATATTCGTTTATTAATTTTCCACTGCTGCCAACTAAATCGAAGGACGCGGCTTAAGACGAAACTTAAGAGCCATTCAATCTAGACTCTTGATAATATCTATATAGCTATATATATGCATAAAATGTTTAGCTAAGCCCCCTTCAGCGAATTCTCGTTGACCCCCCCCCCCCTCCCCCTCCTCCTCTTAGCGCTATCTTTAGCCAATGGCACTGCAAATTTTCCGCTGCAGTTGGCATATTTACTTGCGCCGCAAAGCTGATGGCAGATAAGCTGCAACCGCTGCAACCAGCACGTCCCCCCTCCTTTCCCACCGACCCGCCTTCCCCCTACTTCTATGATTAGCTGTGCGTCATTTCACAAAATCTGAGCATAACTCTCTGTGCTCCAATTCCTCGCTAATAACTCGCATTCGCCACAAGTAGCTGGCGCATGTATCCGACTTTGGCTCGAGGAGAGATGTGCGCGACTTTTCAGTTCGTTGGCCCCAATTCGTTTGCCAAACACTTTGCAACGCATTTGGGATAAGGGCGAACAACAACTACTTTTTTTTTTTGTCATATGTCTAGATGCGGGAGTGGGGGCGTGGGGGCGTGGTCGCGGTCGCGTAATAACTTCAACGGTTGAGCTGTAAAAATTGCTTGCGCATCCGTCAGATACATTTTCTTAGTTTCTAGCCCCTTTTGCACAAGATTACAGCATTTAACATGACTTTCTTGTTGTTGTTGTTGTTCTTGTTGTTGTTGTTGTCAGCTTGTTTGTGGCCGAGGCTCTAATTGGCCTCCAGCTTTGGCTTTGGCTTTGGCTTTTAGCTTTCTGCCAGACTTCTTCTAGAGCGTATAAATAAGTATTTCTTTCTTTCTGTTTTTTTTCTCCCGCTTTGATGTCATTCTAACTGTAAATAGATTTATGTCTATAAGCGTGTATATATTTAGATGCTTGCACATATATATAAACATATATATATATGGATCTGTATAAGGTTCCTCCGGGCGCCCTTCACTATCATCCAAGTCATTGTAAAAAAGTCCATTACAAAAATATAAATTAAAAATAATTCCCAAAAACAAAAAAAAAAGTTTCATAATTTGATTCTTTCATTTCATCGTTTTGTCACACTGTACTACGTGCTTTTTTCTCATTCTCTCTCTTATTCTCTACAGGTACCAAGCACAGCTCTTTTCGCGGCCATCCCGGCAAATATCACATGAATTTAGGTAACAAAATTTAAACGTAGTGTCATTGTTAATAATTGTAGAATCAATCTATTGATATAATGCATGATAAATCAGTAGTGGGGGCAACTATTTGGGTCGCTATAAAAATCTAATGAAAATCTCTCTTGAAAAAATGCTCTCTAAGGTACGCTAAAGTACCTATAAGAATGTGCTTTAAAAATATGTCTTACAATAGATCTAAACATAGGTCATAAAGCATAGAATTCCCTGAACATGAAAATTTCTAGTCGAAAGAAGACCTGGCCAGTTTCTAAAGTACTCTAACGTACTTCAGATATAGATTTAGATCTGTAAATATCTTAGATAGATCAGCAGCTTTAGTTCTTCCGAGCTTAATTTTGAACAATAACAAACAATAATCTTATATATTTTATATAGTACTAAAAGGTTTTATGGACAATGAACTTTATATGCAAACTTTACAGATTAGGTAGAAAAACCCAGCAATAGATATTTTAACCTAACTTAATCTACAGCATATACTTCTTAGCTATAGATTTCCGGTGGAAGCACACTTCAAGCGAAAACAAATCTAGCAAAAATTTCAATGTTACATCAACTAGAAATTCCTAGAAACTCTTCCTCTTAACTTTTCCCAATTTAAATTCTCTTAAATAATGTACACGATTTCTGAGTCAACATATTCTGTTTGTGCGTTAATTATACATAAATATAAATCAGACCCGATTCCAGAATACTTCACGTGACTCACCGGAGGTCCATGCGTGAATCGTATATAAAGTATAATTGAAAATATGCCCAGTCTAACGGGCGGGAGGGCTGGGCTGTCGTCACAGGTTAATCTCTAATGGATTGGCCAGACGCGACGCCCAAGCCGCGCTTGGAAATGCGCCCCGGTTTTGCGGACCAACATGATAATTTTAGAGGGTCTAAGCTTCCGCTCTCTTTGCCTCTGGAACTATCCACTACCTATTGCTATTAATATTTCCTGTCTCGCGCGCATAAATTAACAATATGCGATGGGCAATTGATGACAGGGGGGGAGAGGGGGGGTAGGGGAACGAGGGACCGGGAACCCTTCTCAAGTATATTTTATTATTTGGGTTTTATGGCTTACGAAATCGCAGCGCACCCACATTCAAGACTAATTTCAAGCGCGAGAGAGGGGGAGAGAGTGCACCCAAATCAAAACAAATATATATATGTCTAGCGGAAAATGGGGAAAAGCGTCGTCGTGTGCAGCTTGCGGAGCGGGGCATACGCTCGCCCAGAATCTGAGTGCCAACGGAAGTGGCTGCTTAATGAAAAAGAACCGTTGTAAATGTGAATTTCTCAATTATTTTTGTGTGTTGCCCGTCAAATAGAGAAGATCATTGCGGGCTCGGAGATCGAATAAGCTGAAGATGAAATACTCTAGACCGTAGGACGGTTATAGATAGATGGAAAATGCTCAAGATGACAAACTGTCAGCTTTAATGGCTTCCCTTTGAGATCTGATTTCAATGCTGTCTTTCAATTTGAGCACTGTAATGTAAAAAAATAATGAAAATCACATAAATATCAAAGTTGAGTAGGAAATTGTTAAAGTTAAGAAAAACAAAGCCGACAATGCTTGAAGACTTGCTTGAATTGTCAGATACAAGAAAATAACCCTATTCGTATCATCTAAAAGATCTTCTTATAATAACTATATATCTTAGGCTTAGATATCTGATATTATTTGAAAATTATTATACAGATAATCATTATTTGAAAAACAAAAAAATGCAGAGAATCTCTTTATTTTCTATGGAAGTAATTGAATTATGTGCTCCGATCTCCAATACAGCTCTGATAATAATTCCACAACAAAAGGACGGATCTATCTAAGATTTCATTCAGTTTTCTATCTATTAATGAAAAGACAGAACTTTGACAAGTTTAGAGATCGAATCCTTGAGAAGGGAAAGTAGAAGGATTATTTTATTAAGTTATATCAAGATAATATAACTTTTTATTATAATATATCTACTCAAGGGTTCAATTCCCGAACTTAGTGCCAAGAGACTATTTGTGGCAAAGAAACCAAAGAATAGACGCAATTTCTTTAAGAACTTCAAATTATTCACCATAATAATAGAAATACCAAAGCAATTCAATTGCAAAGCATAGCACAAAGCTGAAATGCCTCTAACAAGGGTAAATATCAGCCGCACAGACCGCTTTGCTGTGGTGTCGTGCATCCGTCAGATACAGATACATATACAGATAGAGATGCAGATACAAGTACATACGAATAAAAAGATACATAGTTGGTGAAATCTGTTAGAGCTTCCCACAATAAATGTGACGCCAACTGGGACGATGAATCGTGCTCTTTTCTGTTCCTGTGCAGCGTTTGGTGTAATTTTTATGCGCCGTTCTATGCATAATTTATTTTTTTCAATGAAAGAGAGTTTAGGGAGCTGTCCATCACCCCTCCCTCTCCACCAAATTCTCTACCGACTGTCGTAATGCCCGCATTCCTGTGTGTTGTGATGTGAGAGGAAAAACGAGTTTACCTTTGCCAGCGAACGTCGGTCGCATTGTGCGCATTGTTTCGTGACCAGGCAGATTGATTTAAACGTTCACTCACCTTGCTCTCTCGCTCACCCATTGTCATTCTTTGTGCATTTGCAGAGGCGCTGCTCCAGTCGCGTCCGCTGCCACACATTCCGGCCGGGAGCACAGCGGCCGCGCTTCTGGCTGATGCCGCTGAGCTACAGAGCCAGGAATCGCCGGTGCTCGGTGCTCCACTGGGCGGCGGTGTGCACAGCTCGGCGACATCTGTGTTCGAGTCGGCGCATCGCTGGACCTCCAAGGAGAATCTGCTGGCACCCGGCCCCGAGGAGGATGATCCTCAGCTATTTGTGGCGCTTTACGATTTTCAGGCGGGCGGCGAAAATCAGCTGAGCCTCAAGAAGGGCGAACAGGTGCGCATACTCAGCTATAACAAATCCGGCGAATGGTGTGAGGCGCACTCCGACTCCGGCAACGTGGGCTGGGTGCCCTCCAACTATGTAACGCCGCTGAACTCGCTGGAGAAACACTCCTGGTATCATGGACCCATCTCCCGTAATGCCGCCGAGTATCTGCTCAGTTCCGGCATCAATGGCAGCTTCCTGGTGCGCGAAAGCGAGAGCTCACCCGGGCAGCGCAGCATCAGTCTCAGGTATGCTACACGCTCTGCTACAAATCCACACGCCTATACTAATCCAAACAATCCCTTTCAGATACGAGGGTCGCGTCTATCACTACCGCATCTCCGAAGATCCAGACGGCAAAGTCTTTGTTACGCAGGAGGCCAAATTCAATACGCTTGCCGAGCTAGTGCATCATCATAGTGTGCCGCACGAGGGTCACGGTCTGATCACACCGCTGCTCTATCCGGCACCCAAGCAAAACAAACCCACAGTCTTTCCATTGAGTCCCGAGCCCGATGAGTGGGAGATTTGCCGCACGGACATCATGATGAAGCACAAACTGGGCGGCGGCCAATACGGCGAGGTGTACGAGGCGGTCTGGAAGCGCTATGGCAACACGGTGGCCGTCAAAACGCTCAAGGAGGATACCATGGCGCTCAAAGACTTCCTCGAGGAGGCGGCCATCATGAAAGAGATGAAGCATCCAAATCTCGTGCAGCTAATCGGTGGGAAATTGTGACAAGCATTCTTTTCTCATCTACTACTTGAATTGAATTGATGAGGAGCACTCGATTTTGACTGGGTTTTGCAAAAAATTCTATTTTCACCCAATTTCCGCTTATGGGCGTGATTTCTTTAAAGTCGGATGAAGTCTTTCCACTCATTTTCCTCGCATGTCGATAAAATTGCGTACGTGGATTGAGTTTAGGACTTCATAAGAACTTTCTATTCCTAAATGAAGCCTTTTTGTTGATCTTCAATCAAACAGTCAGCCGTCAATCAATCAGTCAGTCAGTCAGTCAAGCAGGCAGATGAGAAAACGGATTCTACTTAACTTGATATTTGAAATTGAATCAATACTCACGTATACGTATGTTTTTCAGGTGTCTGCACCCGTGAGCCACCCTTCTACATCATCACAGAGTTCATGTCGCACGGCAATCTGCTGGACTTTTTGCGCTCGGCGGGCAGAGAGACACTGGACGCGGTGGCCCTACTGTATATGGCCACGCAGATAGCGTCGGGCATGAGCTATCTGGAGTCGCGCAATTATATCCATCGTGATCTGGCGGCACGCAATTGCCTGGTGGGTGACAACAAGCTGGTCAAGGTGGCCGATTTTGGGCTGGCACGTCTGATGCGCGATGATACATATACGGCGCATGCGGGCGCCAAGTTTCCCATCAAATGGACCGCCCCCGAGGGATTGGCATACAATAAGTTTAGCACCAAGTCGGATGTATGGGCCTTTGGTGTGCTGCTCTGGGAGATTGCGACATACGGGATGTCGCCGTATCCCGGGATTGATCTAACCGATGTTTACCATAAGCTAGAGAAGGGCTATCGCATGGAGCGACCGCCGGGCTGTCCGCCGGAGGTGTACGATCTAATGCGGCAGTGCTGGCAATGGGATGCAGCGGATCGGCCCACGTTCAAGAGCATACACCATGCGCTGGAGCACATGTTTCAGGTGGGTGACGGTGATGTCGAATTCGAGGTGTGGGATGATGATGATGATGATGATGATGATGACGTCGATGATATCGATGATGATTACGATGGCGACAATGACGACAATGATGACGACAATGGCATTGAGCTTTGATTTCAATTGGCGTCTGCATCGCCGTCGCTCATGGAATGCCAGCGCAACCAATGTGATAGTCTCGCAATCATCAGTAGTGATAGCAATAATGATCCACGTGCTGCACGTCTCTCCTTCTTCGCTCCGCAGGAATCGTCCATCACCGAAGCGGTCGAGAGACAGCTAAATGCCACAGCCACCGGCTCCGGCTCCCAAGCAGTGGCTGGTGTTGCCACAGCGACGGCCAGCGCCTCCTCCTCAGCGTCCGCCTCGCTCAGCTTGACGCCACAAATGGTCAAGAAATGCCTGCCCAGCGTTGACCACCAGCAACAGCAGCAGCAGCAGCAACAGCAGCTGGCCAGCACGCCCATGTCAGGTGAATCATTGTTGCCCATTGAAACGAATCATTACTGATCTCGCACAATCTCACAGAAACCGGCTCCACGTCCACCAAGCTGAGCACCTTCTCCAGCCAGGGCAAGGGCAATGTGCAAATGCGACGCACCACCAATAAGCAAGGCAAACAGGCCCCAGCTCCGCCCAAGCGCACCAGGTAAGGCTCTCTTCTATAAATCCCATACAGGCTATTCATGCTGCAATCTCTCTTCATCTCTCTCTCTCTCGTTTGACAGCCTGCTCTCTAGCAGTCGGGACTCGACATATCGCGAGGAGGATGCACGCAACTTCATCGATGAGCTCAACACGAATGGTAGTAGTAGAAACTTCCACTTCAACTCCAACAACATTTTAAGCCAGACCCTATGTAGAAATTTTAAAACCCAAATTCCAACCCAGACACAAATACGTACACAACAACAACAACAACAACAAAAACAACTATTATTACAACCAGTACAACAACAACAACAACAACAACAAACGTATTCGATTAAAAAATCATCCTCCTGCAGTAGTTTCCTTTACGACATCCTATTTCGAGGTATTTGTCAATGGCGTAAGAATTCCTATTTACAATTTATGTTTCGTTTTAATTGGTTTGTGTTGCACAAAGAAATCTCATTTCAAAACATTGTATATGGTATTCTTGTTTATTCTCGTTTATGTGATTTCATGAATCCTTTTCTAAATTTTATGTTTTTGTGTATTTCTTATAATTTTTTAAAAGCTTTTATATATATATTTTTTTTTTGGAGCATCTGCTAGTGGAATCACAAAAATAGTGCTATTTAAAGGCAACTAGGAGATATTTTCGATTATTTAAATATATATTTGTATTTTTTAAATAAGTTTTTAATAGATATTGATACATTGATATAGATACATTTCTGTTTGTCTAAAAGAGCTAGAAATACTTTAAAGTATTCAAAAATCTAAATTTTAAACTATTTGTCTGAGAATAAAATCCGTTGCGTCTCGCCCTTCTATGCGATTTTCATAACTGTATATGACATCAGTTGCGCTCCAATTGCCTTCTTTCTTACCCTTATCTCGCCCTTCTATGCGATTTTCATAAATTCAAGTAATAGTTTGTAGAGAACAATCTCTCAGTCTTGCCTTTTTGTGATGTTACCACAGTAAATACCCAAAATATACTATTTTATTTCTTTTGTTACCTTTCTCACAACTATTTTCATTTAGCTTTTGGTGTTTTATCTTTAAGTATAAGATTAAGTTTCTTAGTTTGTAAATTGAATTTAATTTTTGCTTTATGTTTATTTTACTGGTTTCTTTGATTATTATTTGGTTTGTAGAGAGCCTTTAACTTTTGTTTGGTGTTGACAAATATTGAGCAAAAATGGGTTTGTCGCCACAACCACGACTCCAGCTCCCAAGCTAATCCAATCCCTAGTCCCCCAGCACGCGCATGTTTTTGCCGTATTTAGCTCTGGTATTTAATGGGGATATTTGTGCTTTTAGGTCTCACGCGGGACATCAACAATTTGACGCAGCGCTATGACTCGGAAACAGATCCGGCTGCAGATCCCGATACAGATGCCACCGGCGACAGCCTGGAGCAGAGCCTGACAGCAGCCGCCACGCCGCCCAACAAGATGCAGCATTCGCTGCATGGCGGTGTCTCGGGCGGCATTGGACCGCGCTCATCGCAGCAGCACAGCTCCTTCAAGCGGCCCGTGATGGGCAATCGTGGCCTGGAGACGCGCCAGAGCAAACGTTCCCAGCAACATCCAGCTGCAGCCCGGGAGCCACTGACTCCAGGCAATGGCAGTATCACGACCAATGGCAATGGCGGAACACCTGTGCTGCCCGCTCATCCCATCACCGTGGGCGCTCTGGAGGTGATGAATGTGAAGCGTGTCGTCAATCGGTATGGCACCTTGCCAAAGGTGGCGCGCATTGGCGCCTTCCTGGACAGCCTGGAGGACAGCAGCAGCAGCGGCAACAGCAGCAGCAACAGCAACACAGAGACATCGGCCAATGGCCATGCCACGCCCCCAGCACGAGCCCCGCCCACTGTGCCCGTGGCCAGCAAGCAGCAGCAGGCGCAGCCAGCGCAGCCACAGCAGATGATCAGAAGCAACTCGTCGGGCGGCGTGACCATGCAGAACAATGCTGCCGCCAGTCTCAATAAGCTGCAGCGACATCGCACCACCACGGAGGGCACCATGATGACCTTCTCATCGTTTCGCGCCGCCGGCAGCAGCAGCAATTCCCCGAAACGTGGCGGCGGCGGCGGCGTAGCACAGCCAGCGCTGGCCAATCTAGAGTTTCCGCCGCCTCCGCTGGAGGAATTCGAGGCACTGCCGCCACCACCGCCGCCGCCAGCGCCCGAAAGCGCCGTCCAGGCCATACAACAGCATCTGCATGCGCAGCACAGCAGCAGCAACGATGTCAGCAATACGGCGCCCAGCGTCGAGGAGGCCAGTTCCCGTTTCGGTGTCTCGCTGCGCAAACGTGAGCCCTCGACGGACTCGTGCAGCTCGCTGGGCACGCCGCCCGAGGCGCCACCACCAGCAGTAGCTGCAGCCCAGCCAGCTGAGAAGAGTCTGAATCTTAAAGAGAAGCTCATCACGGAGATTAAGTCGGCGGGTAAGCCGGCCGAAACAACCGTTGGCTATGCCAATGGCAGTGCACCGCCGGCCGCGGTTGTTGATCCCGTCGCACAGCTGGTCACCGAGCTGGCCGAGAGCATGAATCTGCCTAAGCAGACGAAGCTGACCAACGGCAACTGCAACAACAGCAGCAACAGCAACAGCAGCAACAACAACAACTTCAAGGCGCAGCTGAAGAAAGTGGAGCCAAAGAAACTGAATGCGCCCATGCCAAAGGCCGAGCAGCCCTCAAATATAATTGACTTTAAGGCGCATCTGCGCAAAGTGGACAAGGAGCAGCCACAGCAGCCGTCACAGGTGCAACAGTCTCCGCAACAGCCACAACAACAACATTCGCCCAATGCCAATTGCAGCATGCGCAAGGATGAAACCGGAAATGTCAAAAAGTTAGCTGCAAATCAAAAGACTGAAATCAAAATCGATGTAAACAACTCGAACGCGGATGCGGATGCCGCCAGCGCCGGCTACGGCGAAACTGGCACCGTGACAGACGCTGGCAAGCGGCGCAGCACAGGTAGTATTAATAGCTTAAAGAAACTTTGGGAACAGCCGCCGCCGGTAGCTAGCGGCGACTATGCGAGCACCTCAATCCCACAAGCGGCACAGACCGCCCAATTGTCACCCAAATATGGGCTAAAGGCAGCCCAGCCCGTTGTCAATGCCAAACTGTTTGGCATTAAACCGCCGCCGGCGGCACCGCCACCACCGCCCCCAATTAGCAGCACTCCATGCACAACCACAACAGCACAGTCCCAGCAAGCAGAAGCAGCAGCAGCAGCAGCCGCAGCAGCAGCAGCAGCAGTTGCCACAAAATTAGCTGCAACAAGTCCCACAACAACAGCAATAAAAACATCTCTTTCAACGCAACTCTTCACAGATGCCGAGGGCAGCAGCAGCGAGGAGCAGACAGCAGCCGACCAGCAAGCGGAGCACATGACGCGATCGCTCTATGACAGCGAGCAGCTACAGTACCAATCCAACTCCAACTCCAATTCGCCGTCATCCGCTGTCAATACGCAGCCGCAGCAGCAGCAGCCACCAAGCCAGAGCAATGCCAACAATAAGCTGAACAGCGCGGGAGCGGGCCAGACTAAGCCTGCGGTGCCGCACAAGCCCACCAAGTTGACTATATATGCCACGCCCATTGCCAAAATCGCCGGCATTGGCGTGGGCGTGGGCAGCGGTGGCGGCGTCGGCGGCGGGGCTGATAACAGCCTCATCAATTCAACGCAAATCTCAAGGGAGAGCATACTGGAACTGGTCACGCTGCTGGAGGGCTCACTCAAGCATCCAGTGAATGCCATTTCGGCCTCGCAGTGGCTGCAGCTCAGCGACAAGCTGAACATATTGCAGAACTCGTGCGTGGTGTTTGCAGAGAATGAATCGATGCCGCCGCACTCGAAATTCCATTTTCGGGAACTGGTGACGCGCGTCGAGACGCAATCGCAGCATCTGCGCACCGCGGGCAGCAAAAATGTGCAGGACAACGAGCGACTGGTGGGCGAAGTGGGCCAGTCCCTCAAGCAGATATCGAATGCCCTGCACAGGTAAATGATAAGAACGGGGATGGACGCACAGCGGAGCGGTGTGGCCGACAACAACGGCGCCGCCATTTGGCTGGACGCCGAGGGCAATTTTATCAAGCGCAAGCAACCACAGTGATACGATATATATATATACATACGTATATATATATAACCACATTGCTTCCACCATCCCCCATCTTCCGGAGAGGCCCACGGAAACAAACACAACGAACTGGAACAGAAAAATGGATTGAACTAAACGAAGACCTAACTGCAAGGGCCAGCGAACAGGCACAGGCGCCAACAGACAAGAGAACAACAACAACAAAAACAAAAACAAACTACAACTATTATTAATTATTAATAACTAAATATATATATATATATATATACATATACTATATATAGTAGTTGGTGGCATGTAGTACCGACTACCGTAGTATTTAGTAGCCGTAGCGATTATACATACATCTAGTCATATATCCGATGCATCCGCTTATATCGTGACAGGGAGGCAGGGAGAGACAGAGAGCGAGAAAATGAAGGAGAATAATAGAAAGAGAGAGAGGGAGAGAGAGCGCGAGTGAGTGGGCTTCAAAACTGAGTTGCAAAGCAAATTTCTTCTATATAGGCATTTTTCCGACTAAACGCCGTCTTCTATTTTTTTAATTCTAAATTATATATGTATACACAAAAAAAAAATGCCACTTCACACACAACTTTTTTCACAATCAACCTTTTTTTTTTTGTTTAATCAAGCTAAAGCTTCGTTTTTATAAACATTGAAAGACATAAAAGTGCATATGGCGGGCGGGTTGAGTGCATGAAATAATGAATGAAATATATATTCATAGAATATCTCAATAAATTAGTAATTATACTGCACACACAGACACACACGCATATATATATACATACATTTTACACATCTATATATATATATATATATATTTACTAGTCGGTAAAAGTGTTTTTAGTATACCTATACAAGATACATATATATATATAAATATATAATTTAATACGTGCGTACATTATATGTAATACGATTGCCCGTTAAAAATCGAAAACTCAATTTACAACGTTTAGACTTTTCTTCGTGTTTTAGTACTCGTAATACCTACATAAATACATCAAAATGCAAAATGATCTATGTGTACTACTTGGCATAAATTATAAACAGTAGCAAAGCCCAAAGATATTATTATTAACGACTACTCGAAAGATTTATATTTATATATATATGTATATGTATTTGTTAGTTGCAAAGACTAAATGAACTTATTTTTTAGTTTATGTTGAACAATGCGAGGTAAAAAAAAAAAAAAGAAAAACAAATTAAATTGGTGGCAAATGCTTTTTAGATACATACTTATACACAACAACAAATTGTAATTATCTGATATTTTATGGATTTTAAAACTACTTTTATACGTAAAAACAAACACGAACACAACTCACACGACAACAAAAAAAAACCAAATAAATATTCATTTCATATATATAGCTGCGGATCAACATTAGGGCGGGTCATATTTAAAGTTGACATACATATTAATATGGATGTGCATAACAAGAATATATATATGTATTTCACATTTATCCAAAATATCTATCCCCCAATAACAGACAAAAGACAATGTGCATTCAAAACATATATTTATATATAAATATATATATATAAATACTATATTTCTGTAATTTCTATATAATCTGTGCGTTTGAATGCGCTTAGAGCATATATATTATTTAAAAATGAAAGAATACAAAATACTTCATGGAGAAATAAAATGATATTTAAAACTAAGTGCGTTGAGTTGTATACGTTTTAAGAGCGCAAATCATATATATTTTCTGTTTGTCTCCAATTCAATTTGTTAATTTGTTAGCAATTTAATTTACTTTAATTTTACGGTTGAAGCTTTGATTTAAATGTAAAATATCCCGCCCTATCGATAGTTTTGTAATGCTCAACTTGTATGCATCGATAAATTCTTATCGATATAACTATTTCACAGTACTTGCCCGACGCTGAACCTGCTTATTTGCGCCGTTTGCGATAGTGTTGTTATGCAGCCCTCTTATTAAAGACATTGACGGAGCCCTTTTGCTGCTGTTGAATTTAAATTTCAACCTTACTGGACCTCTCGACAGAACGTGAATATATAGATATAAGCAACTCCCATTATATTCGACTAAAAATGTTATCACTTTTGATTTTGTACTTGTGTCATAAAACAAACAATGGCATATATTGGCTGGTATAAAATAATGCTCGCTGTGAATAGCATAACCGCAAATGGTAATGTTATTGTCGCTGTTATGTTAAATAACATTTCTGTTTGGCATTCGTTCTTTTTTTTCATAAAGAAAAGAAGAAGAGATAGAAGAAAAAAGACGAACTAATATATAATAATAGAATATTATTTATACTGTGATATATAGCCAAGCATTGTTTTGTGTCTGCAAACCAGTAATTGGACAAACGAATCAGCAGTAAACCAAGCACCAGCAGCAAACCAATTGCGACAACAACAACAGCAACAGCAGCAGCAACAACAAGAGGAAAGTCAGCCAGCAACAGCAGCAACAGCAGCAGGAAAAGCAAAAGCAAAAGCAGCAGCAAAATGCCACTCTTTGGTAAATCACAGAAGACGCCTGCCGAATTGGTCAAGTCGCTGAAGGAGGCGATAAACGCACTGGAATCGGGTGATCGGAAGGTGGAGAAGGCGCAGGAGGATGTTAGCAAAAATCTGGTGTCGATCAAGAATATGCTGTACGGCAGCAGCGATGCGGAACCGCCAGCGGACTATGTGGTTGCCCAGCTGTCGCAGGAGCTGTATAACAGTAATTTACTGTTGCTGCTCATACAGAATCTGCATCGCATCGATTTTGAGGGTAAGAAGCATGTGGCGCTCATATTTAATAATGTGCTGCGCCGGCAGATTGGCACACGTTCGCCCACAGTGGAATATATATGCACGAAACCGGAAATATTATTTACACTGATGGCCGGCTATGAGGATGCGCATCCGGAGATAGCCCTCAATTCGGGCACAATGCTGCGCGAATGTGCACGCTATGAGGCGCTGGCCAAGATCATGCTGCATTCGGATGAGTTCTTTAAGTTCTTTCGGTATGTGGAAGTGTCGACATTTGACATCGCCTCCGATGCCTTCTCCACGTTCAAGGAGCTGCTGACACGCCACAAGCTCTTGTGCGCCGAATTTCTGGACGCCAATTATGATAAGTTCTTTGCCCAGCATTATCAGCGATTGTTGAACTCGGAGAACTATGTGACACGACGCCAGAGTCTGAAGCTGCTCGGTGAACTGCTGCTGGACAGGCACAATTTCACCGTTATGACGCGATATATATCGGAGCCAGAGAACCTGAAGCTGATGATGAACATGCTCAAGGAGCGATCGCGCAACATACAGTTCGAGGCGTTTCATGTCTTCAAAGTGTTTGTCGCGAATCCGAACAAACCGAAACCGATACTGGACATCCTGCTGCGCAATCAAACGAAACTGGTCGACTTTCTGACCAGCTTCCATACGGATCGGTCCGAGGACGAGCAGTTCAACGACGAGAAGGCATATCTGATCAAGCAGATAAGGGAGCTGAAGCCGCTGCCCGAGGCTTAGTTGGCAGCGGCAGCGAGAACAAGAACGAGAACATTTTGGCCTTGGCTGTATGGCAGGATGACGATAGCGAAGACGAAAGCAGGACAACAGACAAATGACAACTACAACACATACATTCGCAGTATGTGTGCGTGTGTGTGTGTGTGTGTGTGTGCAGGGCGTGGGTTAACCTTAACCACAACCAAATGCAAATGCAATTCCAATATACAAACACAATCACACACACACACACATACATATATATGTGGACAAAAGACGATGACGATAACCGATGACCGATTAACGATGACTGATGACCGATGACGACAGCACTTGTGAGTAACTAAACAATAATTTAGACAAAGCAAACAACAAAATGATAACGATAAAGCAAAATACATAAGTAGTAACAAACAAGTACACACATTAAATTATGTATGTAATAGCGTAAAGGAGTAAATGCAGCCGCAGCATGTTGCGAATTTAACTAAAAAAAAAAAAAACAAAACAACAACAAAAAAAGGAAGAAACAAAAACTCACACACATACGCATACTACTTGATTTTACTCTCTCCATTCACTGAGCATATTGCATATTCGCTCCGGCTTCCGTCTAGTTCGCTTTTGAGATTGTTCAGAGTTCGGTTTGTTGTTGTGGTTCCAGTTCGCGATCCTCGTGCGCCTGCAGACGTATATAGGAACTATGTATGTATGTACACCTCTACCTACCTATAACTACTGTTACTATTACTTTGCGTAAACGGTATATTATTATTATTTCCATTTCCGTTTTTTTTTTTTTTCGTGTTTTTCTTTGGCCTATTTAAATAGTTGTTGTATTGAAATTGAAGCGTTTGTGAAACGTTATATCCAGGACAATGAAGATAATATGAGTTTTGACTTACAATTTAGACATTAAACATTTCAAATGTGCGCCGAAATTTACAAATTGCGGTAAATTATTATTATTAAATATGTATGAAGGAAATACCAATTGTAATTTCACCTAAAAACTTCATTCAGAATACTGCATAATAATTATATGAAGTTATAATTGAAAAAAAAAAAAAAAGAACATTCAAAACACACAACACGCACACATACACACCAAAACACACAGCCACACACACACACCTACACACTAAACATCCATACGTACATAGTAAAAAAAAGGGAAGTAAAACAACAACATTACGAGCAGCATAATAAATATATTATTATTATAATTTATATTATTCCCAAAATTAAAGATAACAGCCAAACAAAAAAAACAAAAAAATTCCATCATATGTGTCATTCCGATTGGAAAACGGGCGCAGGAGGGCGGGGCCGCAACTGTTAAGGCATGCTGCCGCAGACGTTTAAAGCCCTGAGTCATGTGCACGTGCGAGGGCTGCACAAATTCTTGCAGGTTTTTGCATGTTTCTTAACACGGGTTTTCTTATGTGAAGTATACGCGTATGCAATAGTATTACAGTTAGTAATGTAACACGATAGTACATCACTAAAAGGCATTGCCTACATAAATGTAGATAATATTTGTATTTTGTTAGAGCTTGTTTATGATAAATATTTACGGAACTAATATGCCCAGCAGTAAAGGGTATTAAGGCATTGAAGTAGGCATGACATATTTGTGCAGCCCTGGTCCCGATCAGCTGGCCTAAAATTTCGGCGCCTAAAAAACAATCACAGAGAAAGCAAAAATTGTGTTTAATAAAATGCACAAAAGATTTCGCAAAACAGCCGATCAAACAATTATTGGCGATTGCAGCAGCAGCAGCAGCGAGGATGCTAGTGGAAATCATCAGAGGATCAGATCACTCGTGCGTAGGAAATATGTGCGACAGAAGCGTACAAAAACCGACGAGTTGGATATTTCGGATACGAGCAGCGAGGAGGAGCCTAACAGTCAAGACCCAGGCCAGGAGAACCGAAAGTGGGCTGCGAATCTCAAGAGATACAGCAGCGATCACAAGCCGCAGCCATTGACGCCACAAAATAAGTTCCAGCCCCTGTCGCTGTTCGTAAGTGTCAAAGCACCGTCTCCAACTTTAGCAACTAATTCATTTGATATGGCCAACTGTTCCACGAGCATTGCTAGCGATGCTCCAGCCACCTGTCGAGCAGCTTGGCACAGCTTCAGACAGACACTTGCCGCATTGAAACGGGATCGCCAGGGCCAGCTTCAGGCATCGAACAGCAAGCAGGAAACTATGAATGAAACGCTGCTGGAATGCACGCTAAACACATCCATAGAGGCTAATCTGGAGACCATGATTGACACGCAGCAAACGCCGAACAGCTGCAGGAGAGTCGCCAAACAGAAGCAGCGCTGCATCAAAGGTGGCCATTTATATGAATTCAAGCGACTGATTCTGAGAGAGCGCATGGATCGCCGGAGTCTGGCGCACAACCAGCGGCTGGGCATTAGCTCGGGCCAACGCGTGCGTGTGCTGAGCATAAGCGAATCCTTTGGCTGTCACATGGCACGCGTACAGGACGAAGCCGAAGATAAAGGCATATTTAACATAATACTCTCGCCCAGCATGTCGCCGTGCGTGGGCGCCACGCTAGAGCTTTACTTCGAACTGAAGCCGGAGACGGCGCTGCAACTGGCAAATAAGGAACTCGTTTACGTGCAGCCAAATAAATTAGTTTTATTATAGGTACACGCAAACTTAGGACTAATTAGGGAATACTTAGTAAATGCATTTGTATAAAATAGCAATGCAGCTAGCGCCGCTTTTTCTTCTCCAGCTTACGTATTTTGTGCAGACGTCGCGCCACATTGCCGCTGCCCGGCGCAGGCTCATCGCTGTGCCGCGCCTCGTCCTCGATCGTGTCCTGGGAATCGCTGCCACTCATCAGAACAGCAGCGGCAATGCAAACAAACTGAAATATGGCGCCAACGAAGAGTCCGTAGCGTACTAGTAGGCCAAAGAAATCCTCCTCGCCGTATTTATCCAGATTAGCGGCAGCTACGCCTATATTATCAGTGGACATCTTGTGCAAAAACTCAATATTGACTTTGTTTATGGTTTTGTGTATGCGGCGCACACAGGGTGATGCGTGCACAAATAGCTAAAGCGATTGTCACAAATAGAAGAGGAAGCAGAGAGTTGCAATTTTGTTGTGACATTTGCAAAAACATGTATGCAGTGCACACAGGGTGATGCGCGTACAAACAGCTGGAGCAATTGTTACAAAGGGAAGAAACACGAAATAGCTTGTTGCGGCTGCTGATTTCAATGGATTTTAAACAAATCGTTTTTTATTAACGCACTTAAAAGCCAACACATATGTGCAATTTTGAATTATGCCATTTGCAAAACCTTTCACACAGGGTGAAGCGTGCACAAACAGCTGAAAGCGATTGTCACAAATAGAAGAGGAAGCAGAAATTTTCTTGTTGCGACGAACGACTTTAGTCGGTTTTGCATAATTCATTTTAATTTAAGTAACTTAAAGCTGACACAAGTATGTCGTGCTTCCGTTTGGCCACTGCACTTACTGCCGCGCGTCCGCTGCCCCGGAACAGCCAAAACCTGCGACTTTTTGCGAGAAAATCACAGGAATTTACATATGCTCGCCGCCAGTTCTCGAAGGCCTTAAATGAGAGCAACATTGGCAAAAACACTAAACCCGCCGGCACACTGAAGCTGACATTGTTGGGCGCGTGTATTGGCGCCGTCGCTGGATCCACCTACACAATTTACTCGAGAATTAGCGACAAGGATTCGCACAAGGAGCACGAGCGCACGCCGCCAAAAGTTATCGGATCGTTGCCTGCCGGCGTCCGCATAACAAAGCGCTATATTAATCCTAAGGATACCTCGGGGCTGGACATAGTGCTCTTTCAGTTCCAGACATGTCCATTTTGTTGCAAAGTTCGTGCCTATCTGGACTACATGGGCGTATCCTATTCGGTGGTGGAAGTTGACGCTGTGCTGCGCCAGGATATCCGCTGGTCATCGGTTAAAAAGGTGCCCATGGTGCTGATACGTCAGCAGGATGGCCAATATGTACAGATGACCGACTCCAGTGCCATCATTTCGTTGGTGGCCAGCAGTCTGCACGATAAGCGCACCGATGTGGGTGACTTGGCGCAGTTCTACCCGCATGTTTCCTTCTTTGATGATGACGGCAAGAAGCGCCAGGATATATTGAACAAATACTTCCTCATGTACCAGGATCGCACACCAAAGAACATGACCAAAGAAATTGAAGAGTAAGTGCACGCTGCCTTCTAGTCAATGAATCGATTGACAATAAGTGCTTTTGTAGAAACGAGCGCAAATGGAGGACCTGGGCCGACAATCATCTAGTGCATCTCATATCTCCTAATTGCTATCAGACGCTTGGCGAGGCGCTCGAGACATTTGAGTGGTTCTCACAGGCAGGCGAATGGGATGTCTATTTCCCCAAGTGGGAGCGCAACCTGATGGTCTACGGCGGTGCAACAGCCATGTGGGCCATAGCCAAGATATTGAAGCGACGACACGAGCTTACCGACGATGTTCGATCTCATATGTACGATGCTCTGGGCAAGTGGACGGCGGAGCTTAAGAAACGAAACACGAAATTCATGGGCGGCAAGCAGCCGGGCTTATCGGATCTGTCAGTGTTTGGTGTGCTGAGCAGCATGGAAGGTTGTCAGACATTCAAGGACAGCCTACAGAATACAAACATTGGTAACAACAATTTCTAAAGGCAAACAGAAAACCTTTAAACTAATAATATGTAAATTATAGGCAAATGGTTTTACGATGTCAAGGAACTAGTGCAACAGAACCGTGGTGAGCTGCGTAGGGAGCGCATAGCGGGCGTGGAGGCCCTAGCTTAAACAAAATATGCGAAACATTTACGCCCAAAGATTGTTCAAATTGTTTAAATAAATGCCCTACATTCATATGAATTCCGTTCCAATAAGAACTATCGGTGTAATCGATTCACACGATATTTGCTCAATTCGCACCAAGCTGCTTTGGAAAATATCGATGTATCGCCCATATGTGAACATCTCTAATTGTGTGAAACGCCGCTAGACAGAAACTTGCAAATCATTTCGGGCAGCCTTCTCATCTTGGAAATTTAACAAAAGCATAAATATGAATTGTCTTGGTGTCGAACAATTCCCGGATTATAAAGTGCCCGGAGTGCAGCATGTGGACTTTTCTCCCTACGAGTCCAATGGCGGGTGAGTGTCCAAATGCGTGATTTGTGAAAACTCAACCAACATACGAAATGCCTTGTAGCTCCATTGTTGCCATTGCTGGAGAAGACTTTGTGGTTATTGCCGCCGATACACGCTTAAGCAGTGGCTACAGCATCCATTCGCGCGATCAGAGCAAACTCTTCAAGATGTCGCCAAAAACGGTTTTGGGCTCTACTGGGTGCTGGTGCGACACCCTCTCGCTAACCGGGCTGGTCAAGGTGCGCATGCAGATGTACGAGCACACCCACATGAAGACCATGTCGACTGATGCGGTGGCACAAATGCTCTCCATTGTCATGTATAACCGCCGTTTCTTCCCATACTATGTGTCCAACATTTTGGCCGGCTTGGACAAGGATGGCAAGGGCGCCGTCTACTCATACGATCCCATTGGCCATTGCGAGCGCGCAACATACCGTGCCGGTGGCACAGCAGGAGCCCTGCTGCAGCCAGTGTTGGACAATCAGATCGGTTACAAGAACCAAAACTTGCCCGCCGATCAATTGCCGCCACTCACCAAGGAGCGCGCGGTGGCTGTTGCCTCCGATACCTTCATATCGGCCGCTGAACGTGATATATACACCGGTGACTCGGTGCTAATAAATATCATTACCAAGGATGGTGTTGAGGAGCGAAAGCTGCAACTGCGCAAGGATTAAAAACACAATGGTCAAGGGTTAATAAAAACTGCATTCACACATCTTGTTCAACTTAAATTTGTTGTAACACTATAAATAAAACAAATCTAAAAGATAAATTCAAAATAATGTCCCAAACGCTACCCTAAGCAAGAAATATGTAAAGCTTTTGTTATAAATCGTGTAATTGTTAATTTTCGGATAAAGTGGAAGTATATATGTATGTGTGTGTGTGCAATATTGTACGCATCTTCATATGCATGTATGTATGTGTGTTTGCAGTAATGTTTTATACCAAATTTACTTGTTACTGTTGCGCTTTAAAGTTAAAAAGAAACGTTTATATGTTAAAAATGTAATGCTGCCGTAATACGCGATTATCATGTATTCAAGTATCATGGAGAAGGAGGCGGCGGCTTCAACGAAGGAGAAGGAGGAGGCGGCTCCATATATGCATGCATGTGTGTACACAGGCATGCATACACATACATAGGTGTTTATATGTAAGTATTTGAAAATGTTTATATGTACGTATGTTTGTCTCTCTTTATTTTACCATACTGTGCAGCCCTGGCAGAACGCGCCATCAGCTGTTTAGCATTTAGTTTCCTGAGAGTGTGCGCATTGCTGCACATATTCGCCCAATGAAAATTATATTGTTTATATCGGTAGTGCTGTTGATTTGTCTACAATATTCCCTAATTCTCGCCAATAAGAAAATGCTGGCGGCAATTGTGAAGCCTGGCTTATTCCGGCATATAATGTGCCGCAATAATGTGTATCCACGCAGCAGTGTTCAGCGCTTTCCGGTGCCGGACGCCGTTGTGTTTTGGACAGTTAACTATGAGGAGTACTGCCCGCCTTGCTACACCGCTGCGCACATTGGAGGGCAGAGCTGGGCGGATGCGCCATTGCCAAACGAACAAACAAGCGAACCGCACTGGAACCACAATGACGGTCTGGTGAATCGCGTTTCCTTCCATGGTGACTATCAGATTAAAGATGGCCTGCCGCAAAATCCAATTGGACGCACTGGACTCTGTGGCCGCGGCCTGCTGGGACGCTGGGGTCCCAATCATGCGGCGGATCCAATAGTCACACGCTGGAAACGGAATGAAAATGGTGAAATTGTGCGCCACAAAGACAGCGGCAAGTACGTGCGGGTTAAGTGACGATGTCGAAAGGCAGCTGTCTAACTTTTGGCCTGGTATCTTATAGAAACATTCTTCAGATGGTGGCCATACAGCGCTCGGACAACAAGCTGTGGGCAATTCCTGGCGGCATGGTTGATCCCGGCGAGAACGTGAGTGTCACATTGAAACGTGAATTTACCGAGGAGGCGCTCAATTTCGATGACAAGGGCCACATGGTGGAGGAGTTTTTCAAGCAGGGCGGCGTACATGTGTACAGCGGCTACGTGGACGATTTTCGTAATACGGACAATGCCTGGATGGAGACAACAGCTCTCAACTTCCATGATGAGGACGGCACCAAGGTGGGTCAGCTGCAGCTGGAAGCCGGCGATGACGCCACAAACGTGCGCTGGACCGATATCAATGCGAATCTCAAATTGCACGCCAATCACGCCGATATTGTCGGCGAGGTGGTTGCCAAGCGCAATGCGCATTGGTAGCAATAGTTAACATAACTAATACCAGGTACTTATATATATAATAATAGATATTAATAAGCTTTTACAACTGAAGAGTTCAATTTTTATGCCCTTGGGTCTCGTCACGAAAGTGAAGATAATTCCATTACGCGTACATATTCCTGCCGAGTTGATATCTCGGCCAACTATGTCAGAGAACTCCCTCGTAAACATTTGATCAGATTTAAAGATTTTGTACTAGGTAACCCGCAATTCACGCTGGGAGTATTAGCTGTCTAGCTATGTCCATGTGGTATGGAACATTATTCTCGAATCACATTTCAAACTATTCGATTTTTCATTTTCATAATTTTTCATAGACTGCCCCTTAATTGAAATAATCTCACTGGTGTGTTAGTGTTTATTTTTCGTATATTTATTTCAGACTATTCGCTATTCATACATTCACGTTTTTGCGCAATAACAAGTTAAGACAATTGTCCTTTTCGCTAGGAAACCATTTAAAATATATAATATTAATTTCATTTTCTGAGTGCATTGGAATTCATCAAGCTTTGCGCTTGCGCTTTGTCGCCCGCAAGCATCTCCATTCTTTAAAAAAAAAAAAAACAAATGTGACGGCATATATGTATGTGGATAACTTGGATAACTAATTGGTTACGTCCAAATGATTATCAGTTTGAGGGTCTGTAGGTTTACAAAGTCTGCAGATAGTTGAAGACCTCTTGACTCGAGTTGGCCACGTTGTTGAACTGATCTGGATACTGTTCACGTATTTCCGCAAGGAAAGCAAGCGCACTGATCTTGCTATCTCCGTCGGGCATTTGCTCCTTGTATAACACGTCTATGGTGATTTTCAGGATCTGTTCAAGGTAGTCAATAATAGTGGGACGTGCATGCATGTAAAGCACACGGAAGGCTTTGTGCACCATGTCGTTCTCGTCCGTATCCTCGCGCAGTGGCAAATGCGACAGTAAAACAGGCAACACCTGCGCCAAAGGCACAATATTATGATTGGTCACGATCAGACGGGAAACGGCACCGCAAATATTGTCCAGAGCTGGGGCATTTGTCTCCGAAGCAATGGCACCCGAAAGGGCTTGCAAAATGACCTGAAAGGAACTGAAAAAAAAAATGCAGATTCGTTAATATTTAAATGCATGGCATCTTTTTGTGTGGCGACTCACTCAAAAGATTTTTCCTCTGCGCACAAAACTAGCTCGCCCAGTCCGAAATAGCAATTCTGGCGGGCCTTTGGCTCGGGGTCATTTACGCCCTCGACGAAAATGGGGCACAGAGTATCAAAGTAGGTGACAACACAGTTGCCCAGCGATTGGAACGAGTCGGCCAGAGCGCCATACACAAAAGTGCGCTGCTCGCTTAAATCATTTCGCTTGGCCTTGTTCTGCAAAGCAATCGAAAGGATATGTTAATTTGATTTCGATATGGATACATTTGAATGATCCGTGACATACCAGCTTGTTTAAGTAGTACTGATAGACGCGTCCAAAGTACATGGAGAATACATCTGGTGCTAGGGCTTTGCCAAACGCTGGCAACAGATTGCCAGCATTCTCCAAAAGCAATTCGTCAAATTCACTGTCCTCGGCATCATCCTCGTCACCGCCACCGGATGGCTCATTAAACTGGCAAGCCATTTTATTGTTAAGAACATCTTTGATGCAAGCAAAGATCAAGTCGGCAATTTCCTGCGTGGGCACTGCAGTGGACTTCACTTCAATGAACAGTTCGCTCAACATATCAAGCAAATGTATGACCACGCTCTGTTCCTCATCGTTGCGGATCATATGGGCGAATTTGGGCATGATAATCAAGCAGGCGCGCTTAACACCCTCACCATCGCCCATTTTGTGAAGTGCGATCACAAACGAGCAGATAGCCTCAACGGCCGACTTGCGTACATTCTCCTGGGGATGCTCAATCACCTTGTACACGTTCTCAAAAGATATCTGCAGATATGGAGCAAAGGCGCTGCCGGTGTTAACCGCAAATTCTTTGAGGGCGAGTATAGCCTCCTCCTTTTCATAGACAAAGTCATTCTCCACCTGATAACCATCATCATCATCGTCATCCTCGTCGTCTGTGTTATCCAGATCAATGTCATTTTCAGTGGCCGGCTCTTCGGGGAACAGATTGTTGCCAGCAGCGTCATCCTCATTGGGTAGCATATCATCCGTAGATATAACCGATTCGATAAGGCGATCTATGATTTTGGGAAAGACCGTAGACATGCTCTCATTAACCACAATGGACAGGGCACCCATTAGATTGTAGATCGCGCGTCTAAAGTCGGGATCGTTGGGCCCTTCATCCAACATCATAAGGCAGTAGGCCATCGTATCATTGGCCAGCGGTATAAAGTTATCTTTGCCCACAACACGTGTTATGGATGCCAGCGTATCAATAGCCTCGTTGCGCAGCTCCTTCATGTCTTCGGCGCATTCCTTTACCAAATAATTCTGCAGTATTTCAACAATTTTGGGAAAATATGGCATCAAATGCTCCTTAGCAGCCAAAGCTGTCGCCGAGATAGCCGACAGGGCCAGCACACGCAGATGCACCGAATTCTGTGGATCCAGCGTATCGAAAAGACTGCAAGAATATGAAATTAACAAGGAAACTTTAATGGCACCGAATCATCTATGTCTTACCGATTCATCAATAGGGGCAAATGTGGCACAATATCCTCTTCCAGATTCTGGCAGTACGTTTCCAGAGCGTAAAACATGCGATCAGTGTGCTTCGGTTCCGGATTGCCACTCTGCAAAATCGTACAAATAAAAGATATAGCCGAATAAGCTTGATTACCGTCTATTTGTGCTGAGTTGTGAGAGCATGCTTCAAAATAAGTGCTGTCCATAAATACTTGCGTCCTTAATCTCTGATACCTGATGCTCAATTGATGTATTAGGTATTAACATCAACTAACCCAAGCATCTTTGATATAAGGGAATAAGCACGCTGGCAAAGTGTTTGGAAATAAACTTTTCTGTATCCTCAACACGAAAAACAATATAAACAATTTACAACAGTTACTTATCTTCGGGTTGCCGAAGAGTAAATACCCTTGCAGACATAGGCTTAAAGAAAAACTTCAACATCAGACCTGATTTTGATATGATACGATGTGAAAAGCTATTGATTATATAAGATTGAGAAGCAGCAAACTTAAAAACCAAAAACCTTTTTTGCGTAAAACCAAAATGAGCGTACAATATCACTGATCAAAAATATATATACTATATGGGAACAGAGATTATATTGCCCCTCTGCAAGAGTACAAAAAACAAATGCACAACAGGCAAAACACATTTACAGTGAGATGAAGTGTGAACAAAAATGGATTAATTGATTAAGAACTAAGAGAAAAGCACCCTGTATTTGGTGAGAACTGATTTGCGTTTAATTTGAAGCTGATTTATGTACTGAATGGTATCTTTGCCGGGTACGGGATTCGGCTCGTTGCCGTTGCCGTTTTGCTCAGCCTTTTGGACGCAGCACAAACAAAATAAGATAATTATCATGTTGATTATAATAGACATATGCCGCGGGGAGCTTACCTTCAGCTCAATCACCAGCTGCTGCAGAAAATCAAATAGCACGGGCAGAATTTGTGGTGCGAACTTTGATATTTCCGGCTGCAGATGCTCGGAGAACTGGCCCAGCGCAAAGAAGCTGGCAATGCGCACAATTGGCGAATTGTCGGCAATGCCGCTCTTGACGATATTCAACATGACTTCCAAATACTTGGAGCAAATGGCCTCCGAGCACCCCTCGGCGATGACAGCAATGCAAAGGAAGGCAGCACGACGCCGCAAAGGATCCGGATTCTGCAATGCCGGCTCGAGTAGCTGCAGCAATGGCGGTATCAGTCGCTCCGCGGACATATTGATGGCCAGTAAATCGAGGGTTTGTGTGGCCGCCGTAACCGGGCTGTTGCTGCTTTCGCCCGTAAATAATTCATCTGCATACGAAAAAAAAAAAAAAGATACATATCATAAAAATGTCAATAAGAGAGTACAGGACCTTTTTCTTACCATCATCCAGTTCCGTTTCGCAGCACATCATCTCAAATATGACGGATATTATGGGCTCGAGCAGCTTCTGTTTGACAATCGCCTTCTTCTTGATGCGCACCACACGCCCAATAAACGTGACCACCTGGACGCGTATGGAGTCATCGATTTGCTTATTGTTGGCCGTTTCGAGGCAGAATTCAATAAGGGGCTTGACATTGTTGTTAAGCAGCTTTGGCACGTACTCGGCAATGCTGTCAATGACATCAAAAACTATGGAGAACTCCTGCTCATCACCTTTCTGGGCAAAAGCAAAGACCGTCTTAATGATGAGCGGCAAAACCTTAAGCACTGTCTGCTCGGCGCTCGTGTGACCGCTCACGAACGGCATCAGATAGCTCATGCCCATGGTTATGTTGGCGACAGTGGGCGTGGCCAGATTACCCTTGGCCTCTGCGGACATAAGAACAGCGGCAAACATCTGGCAAATGGAGTCCATGTGACTGACAAATTGATCGGGAGCCGCATCGGTAAGAGTGGCAAATATCGAGGAGCCCAGCTCACTCTCCGAGGGATCATCCACGCTGCAGCGGCTAAAGATGAAGTTCAACAGTTCCGTCAGCCACGAGTCTTTCTTCTCCTCCTCGTGACGCACCAAGGAGCCAATAAACTGGGCAATTGCATTCTTCACTGACTTCTCCTTTTCGGCAATCAATGCCTGCAGCATGCCAGTCTTAATGCTGCAAAGATTGCAATTTGAATCAACCCTCTTTAGTTGCTATAACGCGCTGCAGCTGCTTACCTTTCCTTCTGCTCGGCTGGGACCATCTGCCAGTTGCGCAGCTTCTGCAGTCGCTTGTTCAACAGTACGGCGGCAAATTGACGCACTTGCGGCTCCCGCTGTGACACCACAATCTGACATAGTGCCGGCAGTGTGTCCGGATTTTCGTAAGCCTTGCCCAGCTCATTGGTCGCCTAGCAACAAGAATATAAAAGATCAGACACATGTGATTTTACACATAAATTAATTAATAGCCGGCAAATATGTATATGTGT